ACTTAGATATGGAATCCTTAAAAACCTAAAATGATAGCTTCAGAGAACATATTGGTCATTGCCAGAGATGGGAGTGGGGGTGGACAAAATGGGTGAAGGAGGTCAGAAGGTAAAAACTTCCAGTTATAAATAAGTTCTAGGATATAATGTACAGTATGGTGATTATTAAATAAAAATATAATTTTAGTCATTAGGAAAATTTATGTACCTCACCTTCTTCCCTGTTACAATCTAATTATGTGCTATTACTGCTAGACAACTTCTGATTTCCAACTGGAATGTGTTCAAGAGTTTCAATGATGATTCTGTTCTTCAGAATAAAAAATACATTTTAATATGTCTTGTCATTTGTAATGTTTACCTTCTTAAACCAACAAAAAATACAATAAACTACTAGAATAGCTGATCTGTAAATAGAACCATCAGTGCTTTAAAACTCCCAGCTACTGGGCACCTGGGTCGTTCAGTCGGTTAAGCATCTGCCTTTGGCTTAGGTCATGATTCCAGGGTCCTGGGATCGAGTCCCACATCGGACTCCCTGCTCAGTGGGGAGTCTGCTTCTCTCTCTAACCGTCCCCCTGCTCCTGCTCTCTCTCTATCTCACTCTTTCTCTCTCTCAAGTAAATAAATAAAAAATAAAAAAAATCTTAAAAAATAAATAAAACTCCCAACTACTGTGAGTTCCGTAATAAACCCAAAGGATATACCAACCAGGGTATCCTTAGTAGCAAGATGGAATTATTTCATCTCCATTTCAGTGTATTGAGTGATGAGAGCAAGGAGTTTCATGGCGCTGTGAATGTTGTAGAAGTTCTGACTTTGGGATTAACCTGGACAAGGAAGTATAGGTGGCAGAGGGTGGGTGATGGTTCAGTGGGAACATACCTTCTCAGATAGCAGAACAGCCTACACCTAAAAGTAGCAAAAGGAGTGAGACTAGAAAGTAAGAAAGAAGGTGAGGCAAAGTTGGAGCCACAGTTCATAAGTAAGGATGATTCTTTTTTATGCCATTTAGCATTCAAGGATTGTCTGTATTAGTAAAGGTGAAAGAATTAAGTAACTGAGTCTTCAGGTGAAATGTTTTATTTCAAATAAAACTTTCTATGGCAAATGATTTTACTGATGTTTGTAGAAGCTTGAATCTAAATATCAAACCTTGCTAAGAACATTTTCTTCACTTGATCAACCCACAGAATAACTCACATTTTCATAATTAACTAAGATTTTAAACATCTATAAAATCGATAACAAGTGTGCCATCCCTAATTACAAGGAAAACTGCTTTTAAATTAGAAATATGTAGAGGAAAAAGTAAAAGTGTTATTTTATGACATGTAACTCTCTCTTCCTGTACAATATCCATTCAATCCATCCCACACTGCTCTCAGATTAATCTCTCAAATGGGTTCCTGTTATGTGTTTATTGCTACATATTGTATACTTTTTAGCATAAAATTAACTAAGAGTATGATGGGTTTAACTTGCTTCAGCTACTGCCTTCGGCTCAGGTCATGATCCTGGAGTCCCGAGATCGAGTCCAGCATCAGGCTCCCTGCTCTGCAGGGAGTCTGCTTCTCCCTCTGACCCTCCCCCCTCTCATGCTCATTCTATCTCATTCTTTCTCTCAAATAAATAAATAAATAAAAATCTAAAAAAAAAAAGTCATCCAAAGATGAAGAAATATTCCCCCTATCATAACACAATGAATTACCATGACACGGCCTGAAAAGTTCATTAGTTGAGTTTAACTGCATTTGTAATTATTGTAGTGCATCCTGGTCACCACAGTTCTCCGATTCAAATAGGTGAGGGAAGAGGCTCTTGGGTGGCTCATTTTATTGAGTGTTTGACTTAGACTCAGGTCATGATCTCAGGGTTACCCGCTCAGTGGGGAATCTGCTTGTCCCTCTCCCACCCCTTTCCCTCCTTTTCCTCTTCTCCCTCTCCCCCTTATCTACCCACCCTCCTTCATGACTCTCCTGTGCACACTCTCTCTCAGATAAACAAATAAAATCGTTTAAAAAAATTAAAATGAAAAAACCCAAGTAGGTAAGGGAAATTGTTGATGGGGCATAAATCAATTCCAAAAATTTTAATAAATATGCCTGGATATCCTAGGCAACCTTACTATTACTAAATCAGTACATTTGCTTTCCTGAAATTTCTGTCTCCCATATTTCTAATGTATCAGGACTTAAAACATGGTCTCAGGTCTGTGTTCTCACTTCTATTATCATTTAGTTTAAAACTAGAAATTTTGGAGAAAGATTGCAATGTAACTGAGATAAGGCATAAAAGGGGAAATCTCACATGGTCAGTATGAGGTCAAGGGAAGGGACTTTGTTTAAAACATTAAAGAACTGAGCTTCAGAATTATCATCAACATCAGGCATTTTATATATGAAATTACTTCCACCCTTTCCAATGATAGCTAACTACCTTTATATCTAACTTTCTTTTTATATCTCATAATTTAGCTGCTCATATTATTCAAGAGACAATTAAATCATGTGACATTTTAAAAATGTTCAGATTTTATTTCAATAACTCATCAAGAAAGAAAAGCAGATGTGTTTTTTTTTTTAAAAGATTTTATTTATTTATTTGACAGAGAGAGACACAGCGAGAGAGGGAACACAAGCAGGGGGAGTAGGAGAGGGAGAAGCAGGCTTCCTGCTGAGCAGGGAGCCTGATGTGGGACTCGATCCCAGGACTCTGGGATCATGACCCGAGTCGAAGGCAGACACTTAACGATTGAGCCACCCAGGCACCCAAAGATGTGTTTTATATGTATATATTGTGTGTGTGCATACATTCATGAACATGAATGCAAACAGGAATGAAACCATTCTGACTCGTTTTGCATTACCTGCAACACCTGATGGATTTCTATCATTTTTAATGAGGAATCACTTATCTATGTGTATGATTGGGGGTAGTTTTTCTCTATCAAGTTCAAGTTGAAGTGGCAAAATTTTGGTTCACTATCAGTTTCCACCTTTCTAATAACTAAAAGCTGCCCAATAAAAGAAGTAGCTTCTTGGCATTATAATTGTTCAAATCCTAATTATGTGCCTACCTTTGAGATACCAGGCTATTGATGGTTTTCAAAGATCCTCCCATCCACCCCTTAATCTAAGATTCTATTATAAGTTATTTTTGGATCATCATCCACAGAGACACTTTTCCCTGAGTGAGAAGGCACAATGTTGGTATTTGTTGGTGGAAGAGGGACTTCATGACTAAATACCTTAGCATTAATTTATACATGTATCAGTTGGGAAGAGTGACAACAATTGGATCTCCAAAAATGTTAGGTCCTTTGAAAGATATGGAAGACCCTTATACTAGAATTATAATTATAGATGAAGGTCCTATGATTATGTCCAGAGGTAGGAGCAGTTGTGTTCCCCCACCACTACTGCATAAACAGTGAACCTGAGGTCAGAGTCCCTGAAGTTTGCATGCAGCTAATCCAGCTCCTCTCACCAGTCTCAGGATAAATGTAAATTATACAATCTCCAAAGAGAGGGGAATGACGTGACACTGATCCTCCCAACCCTAGAAGATAGCTTATACCTAAGAAAGAATTGATATACAATGAAACCACTGTCCTGCAATGAAGGAATTCCTGTCTTGTGCCAGCTCTTTTCTCAAGGCTAAGGTTCTCATGTTTTTGGTGGAGGGAGGTAGTGGTGAGGAGGAGGTTGTGGAAGAGTGGTCAAGGGTTTGCATTGAAATGGCAAGCAATCTTATCCCAGGAAACATGAAGGTGCAGAGCAGGCTTCAATCCTGGTATTTTCCTCTCACATTCTCCCCAGATGGGTCAATGAGGTGAGCTTCAAATAATCAAAAGTTTCCTATAGTTGCTTCTACTTCCTAGAAGTCCCAGCTATCCACCAGACTCAGAACCAAATTGCCCCAACAATGCTAAGCCAGTGTGGATAACTGCTACCAGATGAGATTAAGCCACAGACAGTATTGGGCACCTGGACCCCTGAGAATTGGGCAGCAAAGGGCACAAGCTTCCTCTGGGCATTACACTAAGCTTTGAATAATGCAGCCCTGCATATCATGTGATTGATTATTTGGTACCCTTCTTATTGTGTTATGGTGGAAGGAAGTCATACTACCAGAGCAGGCCTGCTTAGTCAACAAAAACCCATAGGGATCTTTCTCCTCTAGAGCAGGGAAAGAACTTACAGTCTTCTCAGGACTCTTAAAACTTCCAAAAATAAAGATGGTGAGGAGGTGATGGAGAGAGGAAACATTTGGAAGTGAACAACATGGTTCCAAATAGAAGACCCACAGTCTGTGGTTAGCCAGCTGTGGAATACAAACACCTTTTATAAGACAGGGTGAGGAGTAGAAGTGGAAATGTTCAGGAATAACTTAGAGGTTCCTTGGTGAACCAGATTTTAGATGGACTCAAGGATTTTTAGTGGGAATGAACCAAAGAGAAAGTGGAGACATTTTAAATAAACTAGAGCAGGGCCACAGTTTGGGTTTTGGTTTTTCATTAGGCTTTTAAAAAAATCTGGCCTTGGTTTTTCATTAGGCTACAATGAATATTTGGATGTACAGACATTTCTTTGGGCCAGATAAATGCCCTTTCCATTTTCTTGTTCTCTACTGAAGGTATTTCTCAAGAAGAAACTTTTTAGAAATAACAGATGTTCAGAAATGATTTTCCAGTTTTTGATTCACCACAATCTTTCTGTTTCCCAGCACAACCCTTCTGCCTAAAAGCAAGTTCACTAAGCACACAAAGCCAGGAAAAGGCAATCCGGTGTGATTCAATAGAACAACTGAGGACAAGAATATTGGACTGTTTAAACAAGTGACCTGAAACAAGATGTATGTTCATATTTGTTTGGAAATAACCAAACCAGAGGAAGCTTTACAAATACTGACCTAGTTCCTGAATTTTGATTTGCACTATGACTTTACTTCCATGACTGCAGTTGGCAATTTGAAAATAAAAACTCAGTGACAAGTGACAAAGTCAAAATGTTTTTATTTATACTGAAGTTTAGCAAGTACATTTTTAACAAAGAAGGTGCACTTTAACTTAATATATGTCAGAACAGAGAAACCATACGTATGTTTCGAGTCTCTAACACACTACTGCATTTTTTTCCTTAAAAGACAAAAAACCAAGCTGAAGTGAGTATAGAAAAGCATCACATATGGTCAGGTTACTTTACCCATTAGGATTTAGCTCATATTTTTAAACTGATCAATCAAATGCAAGGACAAAGTTTACATCATTGCATTTAAGCTGTACACATGTTCCTATTTTAATGTAATATAGACTGAATAGATGCTTCAGTAAACAAAGCTTTGCTGATAAACACAATTGAAATTATTCCATGTCGAATAGTTTCAGAGATAAACTGGAATCACAAGCATCTTCATTTATGTAAAGCCAGCGGGGACCTTTCAGGCTGAATAAAACTGTTGTGCCATTGCTAAACAGTAATAGTTACCTCCTTTAAAAAAAAGAAAACAAGTTAGTTCTTCTGAGGAATAATTCTGATATGTGCTTAAAAATACTGAACTTCTATTTTCAGGAAACCAAATGATCTGTTGTAATAGGCTTGATTTAGTATTGGTAAAATTTTAAGTTTCTTAACATTTCTATAGTTATTGTGTCATTTTCAAAGGTCTTTCAAGTTTTTTTTTTTGCTACAGCATCTGTTCTTCCCACAGCACTGAAGACCTTGAAGACTGATAAGACCCATTTCATAAGATGTGATGTCTATAGTTATCCACATTACTTTTGCTTTTTGTACATAATGATATGTTCAAGATCCCTATGATTTACCACAACAAGGAAAAAGGAGTGTCTGGTTATCATCTAAGGTAATGATAGCTTTGTACATTTAGAATTTCCCCTCCCCAGATTAACCCTGACTGTGTATACTGCATGAAGGGAGACTAGTTCTGAGTATCAATTTAACCATGTGTTTGGTCAAACTTAAATGTTGACAATCTACTTAAATGTTGGCAATGAAAAGAATCCATACCATCCATATTTGGTTGTGTGGATAAAAATTATACTTGGAAACAATTTTCAAAAAGAAATTCTGCCTCTTTTTCTCTAACCTTGCTTTTTTCCATAGCCATGGCTTATGACTTGAGTTTCTATCCAGCTACTTCATAAAATTTGCCTTTGGTCACAAAAGAAGAACCAGGAAAGAAAGTGTGGATGTACCAATCCATCACCTATGCTTAAGAAACAAAGTCTGTGTTTGTGAGTCAAATGTATCAACTTCAAACATGAAGGAGAGTATATTATCATTGTTGAACTGATATGCCTAGTCTAAAATATTAATTGTCTGGTCAAAATTTAACATTGTCAAGAGGAAGATATACCCTTTTTAAGCTTTGTGTATAAAATCTTTAAATACTTATTCTTTCTCTATAGATGTATTGTGGTGAGTCCAGTGGAATTTTCTGGATAATAATTCAGAAACAAAAATGAAGATATGGTAAGGTAATAGAAGAATAAAAGTCTGTGTTAGTCAGATGACCTAGAGGGTCAAACTTAGAGGGCAATTTTTGCCAAAGATATTTTGCCAAAGAGCCTGTGGAATTAACTTGAACTTTACCTAAGACCAGAAGAAAACAAAGTTTGAATTTGGCGGAACTGTTTAGTAGTCTGTCACCCCAGCGAATTGCTCAAATTCCTTTGTGGCACCTAAGAATAGTCATTCTGATAAAATTCACCAGATAGTTGCTCAGTTTTCCAGTCTATCTCATCTTCTGTATACACAGCCTAAATGTCAAAGGAAAGCTCTTCAGCATCAAATGGAAAACAAGATTGAATTTTATACAATGTAGTTAAAGCTTAAGTCATGCAATATAAATTGTGAACATCACAAACTTGAAAGCAATGGCAAAACAAAATAATATCTTCTAAAAAAGGTCCATAAGCACAATAACAAATGCTAAAAAGCAATCACCATTTGCCTTTAGAAAAATGGTTTCTGAAAAATTTCCCTTCTTTATTATGTTTAATTACTGCCTTAAAAAAAAGACAAACATATCTGCCCATACCCTACATTAAATGTGCTGGTTTACAAGATCTATCAGGAGCTATTCCATAGCAGCTCAAAAATCCTAAGAAAAACTAGGCTAACAAGAAGACAGTATTAATATGAATCAATATTTTTTACCCAGAATACAATAAATTGAGATTTCATAGTAGTAAACCTTTTTGTCCTAATTTAGAGGATAGTAGCAAAGTAGACTCTTGTGCCACATGCTGTATAATGTTGACACAGATTCTGTTACTGTTTTACATATACCAATACAGAGTGATCATAAGGAAGGAGCCAATATTGACCTGGTAATTGACACTGATCCTTGGAGCAATCTCAATGTTTGCAACATTTCAATTTCAAAATGCATTTCAGCTATGAGTGATTTATCATTTAGTAGTAGCTGTCAAGGTAAACTAGATAAAACAAAAACATCTGGAGCCATAAATAGAGGAGAACAGTAGCTGAATTTCAATCCAAACCCAGTGTGCTTACTTCATTAGGAATAAGAAACATCTAATTAGTAATTAAATGTTTCGTGGTTTTAAGAGTGTTTGTACTTGAGTTCCAAAAGAGATGATGTAATATGCATTCTAGATATAAATAAGATTAAAGATCAGGAAGAGCCACCAACAAAACCTCTCTAGAAAAATGTTAGGGAGCTTGGGAATTTATAAGGAGCAATACACATTGACATTTGGGAAGAGCTGATGCAGTTTATTGCTTTAAGATTTACCAGATAAGTAAAGGGGTGGGGGTTGATATACACAGATGTGACCATTTAAAAAATAAAAACGAAGGCCCATATAGTCCTTCTCTTAGCACAGTAATGCCTGATATAGGCATACACCATGGCACAGGAGTCTGGTGTGGCCCCCTTCATACAGGAGATGAGCCTCTGCTGATCAGTTGAGTAATCTTTAAAGAACCACACCTGGTTGTTCCAAACTCAAGAAAGTGTGAGACTTGCTTCTGTGGCATACATCTGAAGCTTATGAAAGGAAAAAGCTAAAATCAGGTGCCACAAAAAAGGCAGATATGTGGGGAAAGACCATAAGAAAACATATGATGATTGCTTATAGTTCAATCAAAATCAATTAAACATATCTATTTGTAAAAAGACACTAGTTTGTTTTTAAGTGACTTAGTTAATTTGAATATGCTATTCAATTTCCCCTATAGTTTAATACATGCTGTTTGACTATCAAATGAGACATTTCTGGATGCTATATATTTAGTCACACCTCTTTGTTATTCAGTTCAGATGATATTAGTACAATTTTTAAAAATTGCATTTGTCTCAATCCATGATTTATTTCGTTTTTATCCATGATTTATTTCTAATTTGACATTATTCACTGAATTAGGTTAAAATCATCACACCTACTCTACACAAGCAGAATTTCTACAGTCTATCAAGAGCACAAGAAATCAAATTCTTGCGCCTTAGAAGAAATTCCTTCAGAGCATGGAATGACTGGAATGTCACATTGATATGAATTAATGTAACATTTTAAAACGTGTAGAGTAGGTGGCCATTACAGTCGAAATTGCATGTACTGTCAAAGGGAACTGATTATTGGAGAATCGATTAAAAACTTAGTTGGCCTTTTGCATAAGATGAGTGGTGCTTTTGTCACATCAATATTTAATTCTAGGGCAGATGTAAAAATAACGTAATAAATTAGATTTTGCTTGGTGTAGGGAGGGCACATTAGAATGAGACATTAAAATTTTTTGATCACTAGAGTGTCACTTAACACATTGGAATACTGCTCTATTAGATTTTCAGGAGGCATGAAAGTAATGATGACAGGTATTTCCCCCCAGCCTTTGGTCAGGCCTCCATTAAGTAAACAGTTAAAGATATTTGAGGCTATTTCCTGGACAATTCAAGCCAAATGACCCATTTGGTTCTAATTACTGGAACATCTTAGGCATCTGGTCATGTTTAGATCAGAGGGTGAACAATGGAAAATAACCATGATGTGACTGATCCATCATATCTGCCTCTCTTTCCTATGTCTATAGATTTTGCAGTCTGTTTAGTTGCTGATAGTTTAATAAAGAGGAAGTAGGATTGGAGATGGGAGGAGAGCAGAAAAGAATAAAAGGGGTATTTTTAGTAGCTTGGGTATGTGTTTTTATCATTGCTTTCTTTATAAATAAGGAATGTGCTAGTAGAAAGGGATTAAATAACTTGCTTTACCATCAACAGATCAAAGGGAGAACTAGGTATGGCAAAATCTGCAAACTAGATCTGTCTGTAATTCCCTTAGAGAATACTACAGACATGTTTTTTGTTTGTTTTTGTTTTTTGGGTTTTTTTTAGAAAAGTGAGCTCCAAAGCAGTGATAATATTGGTCATTTGCACAAATGAGTTACTTACTCACATCTTTCCTGTTAAATCCCAGGTCAGGCAAATATAAAGCTATTTCACAGTAATCACAGCTTAAAGTGGGTGTGCCTACATTTAAGTTTCTGTCACACCATTTAGAAATAGCATTTTCTCTGTCTCAAAAATGCTTGCACCTACTTATCCCACTAGGATGCTGTGTGGATTCATGTGATAACATTTATGAAACACTATGAACTCCATGGAAGAAAGGGGTTATAGAAGTGTAAAGTATCATGTTCAATCATCATTATGATTATCTCCTAAAAATTTGTGAAGCCTATTCTCTAGCACATTTTCCCTGTACGTGCAAGGTTCTATTTATCAGTAATGAACAAATAGTAATTGAAGGTTCCATATTTTAAGAATTTGAGTATTAATTCTAAAGAATTACAGCACTAGATAAGCAGGTAACTGCTACAGCACTCTATTCGTGCCTATGATCAGTTGGAGTTCCGGCATCAGTGTTCAGGCTGCACAGAAAAAACAATAAGACCTGGTCAAAATTTCATTATGACAAAGAAAATCCAAAATCTACTCAATGAACTTTGCTGGAAACCACAAAATGGCTTAATAGTATTTTGCTGTGCTATATATGTTCAAGATTTGAATGAATCTCTGTGTAATAAATGTATTATTTTATTAGACTTATCCCTTTAACATATATTCATTGGTGTGAGTTTTATTCTATTAAAAATGAAATTATACAAAGGTGAGCAAAACTGTAGATTTACAGTAGTTTAAAGCTTAATCTTATTCTCTTGGGGTGATATTGACAATATAAAAATAGTGTAAATGATATTTCCTAACTCTAAAATATGCTTATGAGCCCCTTGTGCATGTTCTACTGTTTTACAATCTGCAGTGAAATGCATGACTAGCTTAATAAGCAAGGCATTAAGAAAGGTTTCTCCCCCTTCATAATCTAAAACATGAATAAAGATCCACACCATTTTCCCTGAGTCAAAATCTTTGTTAATGATTGCAATTTCCCCTCTGGATGAGATTTCCTTCCCTCACAGAATGGTTATTTAAAAGTAACTTCTCACTGTGTATTTATATTTTTAATTTTTTGAGTAGTTGACATTAGCTCCAGGTGTAAAACATAGTAATTCAACATCTCTATATGTTATTTTATGCTCACCACAAGTGTAGCTACCATCTGTCACCAGACAAGGCTATTACAATATCATTGACTGTATTCTCTATGCTGTGCCTTTTATTCCTACAACTTGTTCATTCCATAACGGGAAGCCTGTATTAAAAAAAAAAAAAACTGCAAAGAAATTTGTCTATTATGTTTTTGAAAGCTCAATTTATGTTTAGAAAAAGTTATTTTTCCTACCCAGAGCTCATGTTTTCTTTCAAGTGTTTCCTCACCACTTATTCACTTATATAAACAATGGGATTAGAGAGTGCACTTGATATGATGAGCACTGGGTATTGTATGTAAGTGATGATTCACTGAATTCTACTCCTGAAACCAACATTGTACTGTATGTTAACCAACTATAATTTAAATAAAAATTTGGAAAAATAAAAGGAGTGCACTTGTTTTGATAAGCACCAGGTGTTGTATGTAACTGTTGAATCACTAAATTGTACACATGAAACTAATATTACACTGATGTTAACTAACTGGAATTTAAATAAAAACTTTTAAAAAGACAATGAGATTTCCTTAAGAACTGATAGCCTTCATCATAGGCATATTTGGGGCTATCAAACCTCTCTTTTGCAGTAGCTATCTTATTCATGAACTAATGGCAATATTTTATAAATGATTTCTCCAGCTAAGTAGTAAGTTTTATGTTTTCTTTAAGTTGCTTAACTAGTGATGTGTTTCTAATCTTCAAATGGGCACTGTATTATCTGGAACTAAATAAGATCATATCTGAAAGGCCATGTTTTCCTAACCTGAATAAGAGAGAGATAAAACAATGTGCTGGTTAATGCTCCTATTCAGTCTTAGGTTCAATCCAAATTAAATATTCAGTCAATTGTATGAGTTCTACTTCATTGTGGAAACATGTTCTGAATGTGCCATTCTCAAATCAAATAAGTGATAACAGTTTGGGGTCCAGTTAGATATTAGTACAGTAGTATAAATATGGAGCTACTAATTTGAAAATAGGAAAAGTAGACTAATGCAAGAAAGGGGTAGATAATAAAATAGTATAGCATTCGATTACTCTTCTAGAGAAAACATTGTTTTAGAGTCATTTTTTAACAGGGTCTGATGTGGCATCTTTTTAAAAAAAATGGAAGTTTCATGAAAATAATAACCACTTGACTTTATTAGACCCCAAATTTCTGATTTATATTTTAATCAAAACAAAGATCAGTACAGGTTGCCTTTTCTTTGCAAATGGTATCACAATAGAACATCAATCTCTCTTGTCACTTTTAACTCACTTTGTTTTTGTGAAATAATTCTTTAATTTCCCCTTTTACCCTTTATTTAATCTCTAGTCTTTGAAACACCCACCCTAAACAGGTGGCATATACCCTTCTATTCTCATATGAGGATAAATTATAAAAAATATATTTGCCATAACTGTATACTGAAGAGAATATGTTTTTTTTTCTGAAGAGAATATGTTTTAAAGGAAGTTTTATACATCAATTATATGCCAAATATTTCACTCTTACTAAAATCTACACATGGAAACACAAATGCTAACTTCATATGTATTTTATTGGAAATAGTAATAATGAAATCTTGTATTTGTCATACTTGTCAGAAAGTATGGATCTAACTTATTGAAGAGGATGATTAGGCAAATATAATAATTACTATTTTACTAAAATTAAGGAAGAGATAGGTTGAATTACTTCTCAAGCTTAGTAACTGAGTTAGCCAGTTAGTGACTGAAAAATTTTGACTACTAGACCAGGGTTCTTCCTACATTGTGTCTCCCACAGACCAGATATAAATGTCAATAAAAGTGCATGTGTCCCGTATGCAGACCTGCAATTTTTGAGCCACAATAAGGGCTCTAGATGTACTTGAATTCTACTTTCCTACAGAGAAAAGAAAGGAAAAGAAAGAAGAATAAATAAAAACTAGTATTTATGGAACACTGACTTTGTTAGGAGCCATACTAAGCCATTCTAAGCACTTGTGTCACATGTGGAATGTCATATTCTTTCACTACTTCTTATAGGTAATGCCATGGTGAAAAGTAGTAAGTTGCTTATGTCGTTCCTCTAAAAATCTAAGGTTGTATTAGCCACCTTCCATAAGCATATAATTTTAAAAATATTTTGTAAAGGTCAAATTTATTTGAGTTTTATTTAGGAAGCATATTGTAAATATTTTATGTAATATTTAAAAGTACAATTAAGCTATTTTTTACAACTTTTAGCTACTCTTTTTGTATGTTAAAATAATAGAAAAACACCATAATCCTACATTTCAAAGTAATTAAAATGTGTGATCAAAATATGGAGGAAAATGAAAATGAAAGTAATGGGAAAACATTAAATGTTTACTTGAACATTAAAAATGACCACATCCGATATTTTCCATGGAAGGTTGAAATGCAGTTACCAGGAAATTGTAAAATTTGAGTTGCAGGTTATGCCTCACCCATTGTAAATGGCTACTCACCAATGCTGAGATCAACATGATATTCATCTGTATTTTTTTTAAAGTAAATACAAGCACTTAAAAATTTTGGGGGCAATAGGGAAATAGTGAAGAAATGTTTATAAAAATGCTGTTTTCTTTAAAGTTAAAAGAGGAATTGGTGAAATGTTGTCCAAATAACCATTTGCATTACTGAGATAAGTAGATTGCTGTTTAAGTAAGCAGATTATTACTAATGTTAATTTTCAAACATTAAACAAGTAAATTATAAACTGTAGGGGTCAACAGATTAGGGGACTTCAAGTAGGTCTGTATAAAATCTAAAGAATGTTTTTCTTTAAATTCACTTTAATTTCCAAAATTGATTGTTACATGGTTATTATAAATGTGAAAGAAGTTCCCTATGGCAAAGAAATAAGACTTTATGCTAACGGCCCACAATAAAGAATCCAGGCCTAAGTTACATAACTGAGGATCTGTTAAGGTCTTGTTCTGACAGATGCTGTGAGTTTTGCCACAAATAGAAAAGTTTTTTTCTAATTTTATTTCAGCTTCTCTACACAGTTTTAAATAGAAAAGAGAGCTGTATGGTATTTGCGTAGTTTTTAGAGGTACTACCCCAATCTCTCCGAAGTTTTAAGGCAGAAGTGATTATTTAATTAGAGTTGGTTTTAGGCTATTTTGGTTAATTAACTATGATCTGGAAAAGCTTTCTTCCACCTAGGTCCTGCTGCATTGTTCTGCATAGGATAATGTTTCAGTCTAGTTAAATACCCTAGCTAGCTGACTATGAGAAATTTTAACAGTATGGATTGAAAGTGATAATATCAACACAAACTGACAATAAGGATAATGATCGAGGGAGTTAAGACTCCTATGTTTTATTTATTTTTTATTATGTTATGTTAGTCACCATACAGTACTTCATTAGTTTTTGATGTTTCAGAACCCACTGTCAGTAGCAAGCCAATTAACTTCTCTTAGGCTATTTCCCTACTTATAAAATGGAGGTTAATCATACCTTTCTTAATTATCATACAGGAATAATCCTGGTAGAGGATGTGCATGTTAAGAATGGCACAAAGACAAAATCCTCTTTCTGATGGAATTGTTACTATTAAGAGAACTAACAGTAAGCCTGGGCTTGCCACATTTTGTACATTTGAACAGGAAAACTTAGCCAAATATTAAAAAAATCAAAGCCTTCAAAGGGAAGGGAGACTGGAGGGAACTGGGAAGGGAGACATCTTAAGCGGATTTATTATTTGAGTTTTTGGAGGCAAACATGCCTGAATCTATCCCTGGAAGTTTCAGTTAACTCACCCAATAAGTTACCTTTTTAAATTAAGCCCTCCCTCACCCTATCCCCAAAAAAGAAAAGAATGGCACAAAGTTCACCAGGCTATACAAATACTAGATCTTCCCTTTCTTTTTTTCATTATTCCAGTTTTAGGATTATTCAATAAGCATGTTGGTATAGAACCACAAAATATTTATGTGGCTGCAACATCATTCTGTTTTTTTTTTAATTTTATTCTACGTATTTAAAGAAAGTGGTATGACAACAATGACATAATATTACAGCCTTCTATGAAAATGCTGTGTGTTTTTAATTAATTTAATTAATTATTAATTAAATGTGAAACCAAGGGACTTTTCATCAGAGAAAGTTTTCCTTTTGCATTTTCCTCAAGCTTATCTGGGTTTGGGGAGGAATAGAGTGAATTTTAAGCTTAAAAATGTGTAAGTACAGAGGATGGAGCATAAAGTAACTGGTTAAGCAGTTATAGAGTTGAGTTAAACAACCCTTCCTAGGTAAGAGTCAGAAAGATCTTTTGATTAATGAATTAGTTCTATAGACTTCCAAAATGCTGAATAGCA